AGTATGGAGATTCCTCAAAAGACTAGGAATAGACTTACTGTATGACCCAGGAATCCCACTCCTGGCATATATCCAGAAGGAACCCTACTTCAAAATGACACCTGCACCCCAATGTTCATAGCAGCACTATTTACAATAGCCAAGACATGGAAACAGCCTAAATGTCCATCAACAGATGACTGGATAAAGAAGAAGTGGTACATTTATACAATGGAATACTACTCCGCCATAAAACCTGACAACATAACGCCATTTGCAGCAACATGTATGTTCCTGGAGAATGTCATTCTAAGTGAAGTAAGCCAGAAAAAGGAAGAAAAATACCATATGAGATTGCTCATATGTGGAATCTAAAAAAAAACAACCAAACAAAGCATAAATACAAAACAGAAATAGACTCATAGACATAGAATACAAACTTGTAGTTGCCAAGGGGGTGGAGAGTGGGAAGGGATAGACGGGATTTCAAAATTGTAGAATAGATAAACAAGATTATACTGTATAGCACAGGGAAATATACACAAGATCGTATGGTAGCTCACTGAGAAAAAAATGTGACAATGAATATATATATATGTTCATGTATAACTGAAAAATTGTGCTTTACACTGGAATTTGACACATTGTAAAATGATTATAAATCAATAAAAAACGTTAAAAACAAAAAACACAGCAGTCACAAAGTTTCTCTACTTCCTATCCGGAAGTCCTATTTGCCCATGGGGATGGAGTGAGGCCAGCTTGAATAAGCCCTATCAACGCAGCCATGACACTCACTGTATTTTGCTGCCTAGTTAAACCAAGATGCTGGAGAATGCCCCACCAGCCAAATCCCCAGGGAAAGAATGGGCCCTGTGTCCAGGAACGATCACCAGCAACCTGAAAAGCCTCACAAAGTCAAACCAGAGAGCAATTTGCTGAAAAATTCCCTAGCCTCCAGTCCTGGAGGCCCTGCCCCATAGGGGGCTCCTCCTCAGCAGGGCTTTGAGCAGAACTAAACAGATGGCAGAGGGCAGTTCCAGATGCCAGGCTCCTCTTCCATGCTCCTCTGTCCTGCTATCAGCAGCCTCCAGTGGCTAATTAAAGTTTTTATCACCACAGGACTGAGGTCAGGGGCAGAAAGGCCCAGGTATGTTCCAGGTCCCAGTGCCTGTGTGTCTGTGTGTCCACACTTGTGTGTAGGGAGAGGACAGAGGTGGCTGTAGCTTCCTCAAGGTCAGAAAACCAGCAGCAGCTGGGAACTGCCCTGCCCTACGGTGTCGCTGCAAATTAAGTAGGTCAGGTCCAGCTCATAGAAGGAAAACTACTTCCCTGTTTTGGAGGGGAACGAGATTGAGGGAACCCCACATTCCACCCTCCCAGGCCTTGTTCTGTCCTGAGAACATGGTTTAAAATATTCTAGTCACAGGCAGGCTATTCAAATAAAATAGAATTTCAAACCACATGGGGCTTGCTGAGGCATTCAGGCTTCTAGGATGTGTGAAAGGCAGGGGGAGGGGCAGAGACAGCCCCTGCCACTCTCCCATCCTTTTTATTACCAGCAGCTGCAATGCTAGACACATCCGAGTGTGTCTCCCAGCCACAGCCCTACACGAGCAGTTCTGACAGCGAGTGAACACATGAAAGCCACCACGAGGCTCCCCTCCCCAGTGGCAACTTGAATTATTTGAACTGGAGCTCAGCAAAATGAAAATAAAAATAAAATAAAATCTGAGTATGTTGCAAGCAGTTTCCCAGTTTCCAGCAGAAAATATAGATTGTGGGTGGGGTGGGTGGGGGACAAGAAATCCCCCAGGGCTCCCTTGTTTACGGCTGGGCTAGGCAGAGGTCTTTAAATATTCATGCCCCATATGCAACCCTGCAGAGCCATGGAGGAGGCATTGTCTGCACCATGGCCAGACAGCAGAGAGAGGCAGCTGGCTGAGGTGGCTGCAGGGGTCTGGAGGGAGGAGGCTGGAGCTGGCATGCTTTTGGAATATCCTAGAAGCTGACTGGCACAAAAGCACACCCTGACTATGTCTCCATTGTTGGTGGGCATCTGACCTGGCTCCACATAGGCTCTAAGGTGCTCTCCCAGCCCCTTTTGTCTCCACCACCTCTGTCCCCCACCCCATCATGTCTAACCCCTTCTCTAACTCATCTTTCTAAAAGGCAAATCACATCATGCTCTTTGGCAGCACAGGTAATGGAGGCTAACTTTCAGCATGGGCTCAGAACGAATTTCGATCACAACCAGAAAGGACACCTATGGCCAGCCCCTCTTAAGTTTCAGTGTGCATCCAAATTACCGAGGGCGGGGTTTGAAAATACAGATCCCCAGGCCCCAAATGGTGATGTCATTCAGGAGGTCTGGGGTGGGACCCAAGAGTCTGCATTTATTACATTTTCCAAGTGACTGTAACTGGAGAAACACAGACCTACTGGTTAGCTCATAGCTAGATTTTCAAGAAAATGCACTGAAGGCAACACCAGTTTCTCTACGGAATCCACTGATGATTGTGGGTTTCTTGAGGGAGCATTTTGAACTATTGTGCAATTACTTCAAGTCCCTGGCGGTCCCAGGGATCAGGACTGTCAGGGTTTAGAGAAGGTGCTCAGTGGGGGGTGTCAGCCCCAGAGCTCAGCTCAGCCAGCCTCCTGACCCTCTGGGCCTGACCCTCATCAGACATCTTAACCCATGGCTCTACCTAGTGTCCACCTTCCTGCACTGGGGCCCCATAGCCAGCGGAGGCCTCTTTGGAGTTGGGGGGTTTGAAGGCCCCAAGTTAACCTCACAGTCTCACACAGCAATGCAACATCCGTTTCCCCATCACCAATGTTCAGCCAACCTGGGAGAAGGAAACCAACTTCCCGCCTTTTGCACTTAGGACTGAGTGAAATAAATGGCAGGGCTTACAAACCTGAAAATGCATATTTCTATTTTGGCCATTTATTTTTCTGATGAAAACATTTCCCCGAATATCGAGAATTCAAAGACCTATCAGCCTGAGAGGAATGGTATGGAAACCTGAATTTGGAATAACTGAGCAGAATGGACTCACTGCCTTCCCCTCACTCCTTGTGCTGAGCCAAGTTCCGTTCCCGGCAGGAAATAGCAGAAAGAGCCCAGAGCAAATCTGACCAGAGGAATAATAAAACAGCCCAGTGAAACAAAACGCCTGTTTAAGCTATTGATCAACCCAAAGGTTATTAGAAAAATGATGAAGTATTAAAAAATATCATTTTTACCTTGACATTTCTTTTTCCGAAATCAGGCTCATACGAAATCTAGTGAAAAAGACATTTAAAGATGAAATGCTTTTAAGGATCCCCCCTGTCCTCGCAGATGGGCCAACCAACCTTCCTCATTTAGATTTCCTATTATGAAGCCTTCCTTTCTAGGTGCTGCTCTGAGGCACCCAAGAAATATCAATGATGACTGAGTAATTCCACCATCTGCATCGGAGAGCATGGTTTCTCATATACAATTTAACGTAATGAATCTATTTATTTGTGCCCTGACTTCTTCCAGAAAGGATTTAAGGTGGCTCACAGAGACACATAAAATCTAGTCGGAGAGCATAACCTGGTAGAGGGAGAGAACGATGGGGCAAATGCCGAGTTAGAAAACCTAACCAGAAGTGAGGCTGCTACAAACGCCCATCACAAATCCCTATTTGCCTACTGGGTAACACCTCAGATTTAATTCAACCATTCTTCTGATTTAAACAAATTCTTTGATACATCTTTTCCATTCTTCTTTGTTTTATGTCAGTTAGCTTTAATTTCACAAAAAGCCTTGAGGGCTTGATTTTGCCTGTACCTCTAGGCAGGGGAAGCATGTTTCCTGCACCACTGCTGGTCCAAGCCCCACCTGCCCGGGATTTCTACCAGCCCGTGGAGGGGGAGAATCTGGTCAGTTTCACAATGTCTGCAACTTGAAAGGAAATAAATTGTTCAGGGAGCACATAGCTATTCCTGAAATGAAGCCAGAAAGAAATTTCTCCTGTGAGTTTCCAGAAAGAGAGGACTGGCCAGATCTAAGCTATGTGTTGGCTTTCTACTACGTGCAAGATGTTGACAAGGTGCCTGGCGGGGAGTGCGAAAAAGCACAGGCATGGCCGGCTCTCCCAGAGTGTGGAGCCTGGTTTTTGGCTAAAGTCTTCTTCCTCCTCCCCCATTCTCCTTTGTCTGTTTATACAGGGTACCAGGCATTGTTGGCTAACTGTTGTAGTACTTACTTTGTGCCAGACCCTGTGATAAGCCCTTGACATATATTAACCTATTTAAGCCTCTCCTCCTTGGGGTAGGCACTTTTATTGTCCCTACTTTCCAGGTGAGCAATCTGAGGCTCTGAGAGGTTATTAACTGACCAAAGAAACTGTATAGCCAGTCAGTGGTGGGAGCTGGCTTGGACTCAGGTAGTTGATTCCAGGGTTCACAAGCTTAATCACTGGGCTATGTGGGGGTCTACGCACATCTCCTGGTCTCTAGAGAATATGCTTGTGCTGAGAAACATGGCACCAGTTCACCAGTCCTCACACTAAAGCGGTAACAGTTACATGAACTGTTTGGGTAAGGTGGCTCTGGAGGTTCCTCACTGAATGCCACTGATGCCTTAGTGGAATTTATGTAAGTCAAAGTTTTGCTGCTTTACAAAATTTGAAATGTATTACAAGAGACTGGTATTTTTACAAAGGACTCTGTAGAAAGTCGCTGTTATGCTCCCCTTGTTATGCCTTGAAAAAGTTTGAAGGGTTTGCTTAAATCAAGGTCCTACTGCAAATAGTTCAGTGCAGCTGAGTATGGTGTTTAAGGGAAGATTCCCTGCAGACGGGACTTCACCACGTTGATGGCTACTCTCTGTCTAGAAGATGGCACAAATGGCCCTCTTGTCCTCCCGCAGGAGAACAAGCTGTCTGGCCATCAGGCTACTTTGCTCATCTGTGTGGGTCCACCTGGAAGTACCCAAGGTCTGAGGTGTGAGGAGAGGGCAGAGAACTAGAGGGACACAGACTTGCCTCGCACGGAGAGTTCTTCAGAGGTGCAGGGAACGTAGCACTGGTCACTGCAGCACTTTCAGAAGTGGGGGTGTCAGTGGTGCTGAGCAACAGGGCGTGGCCTGGGGGAGAGGAAGAGAGTCAAAAATGTACCATCCTTGTGCCCTGAAGGGCCTTGGGGTGCAGAGTTAATGGGCCCTGAACCATTCCTCTCTAGCCTTGGAAAATCTCTGAGGACACTGGTTTCTGCTGCCTTCAATGGATAAGACACACTACTTATCATTGCCTACAAAACCCGGCTCACGCCAAGGTCTTCATTCCATATCCTGTGATGTCCCAACGCCATACATCTGGATTACTGCAAGCCCTGATCTCCCAAGGTCACCAGCTTCAGCTCATGGTCTCAGAGCAGCCTGAAGCATGCTGGGCTCCCCGGGGCCCATCTCTCCCCATTTCCAGTCATGCCAGCGCTTCGCCCTCCAATGGTCTCTGAACTTTCACTCTCTTCTCCCTGCTCTGGAGCTAGGTTATCCTGTGCTCCATGCCCTGACCAGGAAGACTCATTTATTGTTTCAGGCACTGAGCTGCCTGAAAACCTGGTGGAACATGAGCCCCCAGCCCCTGCGGTGGTGGCAAGATGCACCTGTAAATCTCCAGGAGCTGTGGGGTATCCTGCAGACAGTAGGTGCTATGGAGATGGGGCCAGAGTGAGCCCACAACTTTTAGGGGCCTCAAAGAATGCCAAACAGGACTTCAGTCATTCACATCTTCTTTCTATCTCTTAGCTAAGTCTTTATTGAGTTACTTCCAAGTAACAAATTCAGATGGGCCCAGAGCAGAGTAACTAGGACAGGCCAGAAATCTTAGAAAGCACACTTCCCAACCTTGAGGAAAATTCAAAGAGCTGGGTAATGTGACCAAGGAGAGAAAGGGCCTTTTGTGGTGGGTAGTCTGCAACGGTTGTACTCGAATAAGGGCTGCCTCTTGGGGAGAGGATGAAGTTTAGTTCTGTGGGGCTCCAGGAGCCAGAAATCACGATCAATGAATAGAACTTACAGAGTGGGTGTGGCTTATCTCCAGCTAAGGAGAACTGGTGAGTGACTCTGAGCTGTCAAATGGGGCACTGAGAGCCCTGTCACTGGAGGTATTCAGCAAGGCTGGTCATCTGTTAACTCTGGGTGCTGTCGGGGACTATCAGACTGAGAGCAGAGGTGGGAAGATCACGTCTAGCTTGGAGCTCCGGTTCTCTTCTCTGCTCCCACAGACGCGGCGCCGAGGATGCCGTGTGGTGAGGACACCAGGAGGAGAAGCAGGGGCCTCTGTCTCTGGGGGAGGCCCGGCAGAACTCCCCCGCGGCTGCAACAACTCAGCCTCCTTTCTAAAGGGGCCAAAAGCCAAATCACTAGATGCAGCTAGCTCTGGGGACTGAGGACAGAACTGCAGGGCTCTGCAATTAAAGGAATCTGTAGGATGTATGATCTTTGCTTGGAAAGACAGGAATTTTGGTATGAGGGTCTCTGGCTCCATAAAAAGCAGCAGGTAAATACAGAAGGGTAGGGGGTATAGCTGGGGAGGCTGGGCGGCAGGGAACGAACCAGATATGCTGCAAGGTTCCCAGGGCACAACCCAGGGCAGATGACACAAGGCTTCCCTGAGCCTCAGCCTCCCCAGTCATAAAGAGGGCTATGGTTTTCCTTATCTGGCAATGAGTCCTGTGCCTGACACCGAGTAAGCTTCAGTAAACGTCCACTGAATGGACTGATTGTTACTATTGCTGCCGTTATTCTTGTCTTTTAGCTAAGAAAGATCCTTCATCAAAGTTCTCATTTTAAGGATCAAAAGGGGACATCAGCCTTGGCTTTATTTAATCATTCGAATGCCCGGGAGGGTCTGAAGAGCCAGTCGTGTGGGAGCACCCCAAGGCAGGTGGGGGGAGGTCCAGCGACTCTGGGGTGAGGTCCCCAGTCTCTCGTCTGGCCAGGTGGGCACCAGGGGAAGGGAAGAGAGGGCAGTACCTTGATGGTCCCAGAACTGGGCATCCTTTAGGGTCTTGACTTGCCACTGAGGCGTGTGGGGTAACAATGAGTTTTGTGTCCAGCCGCAGAAGCCATCCTCAAAATTGCAGAAAAAACCAGCAGGGAGCTTACCTGCAGGGAGAGCAGAAAGGCACGGTCATTTCCAGGACTGCTAAAGGCAGAATATGCCAACATCAGGTAAAACTGGCTAGGCATGACCAGTTATCCTCATTAATAACAGCTCCCCAGACAGCCCTCCTAATGATGCTCCTGGTGAAGAGAAGCCCAATCCTTAACTTGTACATGTGCTGGTTTACTCTCCTGCTCTTCAGAAAATAACAATAACAACAGCTCCATAGCACGGCTACTGTTAACCCAGTTTTATACATGACAAGGCAGAGGCTCAGAGATGTTAAGCAGCCTGACCAAGGTCACACAGCCAACATGTAACTCAGCTGGGATTTGAACTCAGCTCTTCTGTTTCTAAATTCTGTGCTCTTTATACAGACTCACCATGAACATGACTCTAGAAAAGCTAATGTGTAACTCATTGAAATACATTTCTAATGGTTGGCACAGTAAGAATGTGGTGGTGGCAGTGGTAGTGTTGGCTGGGAGTTGGTTTAGATCCCTCAAACCACCCTTGTCTGCAGGTACACATATTGTTCAAAGCTGTCCATCTGCTCTCCTTTATTTCCCAAGCCCCTTGCGGTTAAGTGAAGCTGGCTCTGGCCAATAAAATGTGACTGGAAGTGATGTGCATCTCCTCTGGATTGAGACTGGGAAAAGCCCTGGTGTAATTTTCAGTCTCTCTCTTCCCCTGTTGAAGCTGCCAAGGAGAGCTCTCCCCGGGGGCACTGCTGTGCGATGGTGGCACGTCTGCCAGCAGGGACCCTGAGAGATCCTGTGGGGCAGAGGCCCCTCTCAGCGCAACCTTCAGGGAATAGGTACTTTAAACGTTACATTAAACCACTGAAATCTGGGGGTAGTTTATTACTGCAGCATAACCTAGCCTATCCTGACCAAGCAAATGCAGGCCCTAGGGCCTCTTTATATCATCATCTGTTGGCTCAGCATAAAGGGCCCCGTTATGCTTTTCTCTACATCAGCCTGACCTCAGGTCCCATTAAAGAGGCCACAGTCAGCTCCATAGACCATATATTTCCCCCGGCCCACAGAGGGAGGCAGGCAGGGGAAGAGAGTGAGAGACAGCTCACTCTCTCCAGCTTATGTGGAGAATGGTTGCAGGGAAGGCTCTCAGCTCGGAGGCATTAGTGGGACATTCCAGGCTATCCTGATAGACCCAACAGCCCCGGCTAGGGGGGCTGTCTCCCTTCAGGGGGAAAGGCACTCTCCAGCTGGACCACTGCTCTCCGTGTCCTTCCTGTCTCAGCCTTCTTGGCAACAGCAGGCTGACAAAGAGGGCCCTAACGCTTCCTGGCTGTGACAGCACCTTAGTGAATTATTACTCATTTCCCCCTGATTCTCTGTGCATTTCACACAGAGGCAGAATTATAAATTAAAACAGGCTGTCACTGACTTTGAGCATCTCTTCCCATTTATACCCCCCTGAAAAAATCATCCCCCACCCAAGCCCCGTATGTTCCTCTGATTAAAAATCCAAAAGCTAAGGAGATCTTTTTGTTTTATTTTTCATGCCCCCCTCAAGGGACCTTACATTCAATTCTTTTGCAAAAACTAACTGGTAGCTGGAAGTGACCTTCCATGAAGTGTCCTTCACACATCTGTTTTAAACCCCCGACTATGGTGGAAGATTCCAGTAGGCGATGGGCTCCCAGTAGAAGAAGGAGGCAGCACTGGGCAGGGTCCTGCACACCGTATCCCTCCGTCCTTACCCTTTTAGGAGCTGGATGCAGAGGACTGACTCAGCCTGACTTATGGGAGTTGGTGCCTCATCAGCACTGAAATCTGGACACCTGGACCCTACTCACCGCCTCACCGCTTGCTATAGTGTGACCTCAGGCAAGTCATTCCCTTCCCCAGAGCCTCAGCTCCCTCATCTGTAAAGTGGGGTAACACTAGCATATATTTCACAGGGCTGTTCCAGGACAAGGTAAGGGAGAGAGTGTGGAAACATTTTGTAAACAGAATTGAGCAAATATAGAGTGGTGGTGGCATTATTAATTGTCATTCATACCTGGGACAGGGGAAATCATCAGGGATGGGCTGAAACAGCCAACACTGCCCTATGGGGCAGAGACAGGTCCCTAGCTGTCTCTCTGGAAATGCCTATACCTTCCACTGGGACAGGAATAAGAAGAACCCTTGGCATTCTCTCCTTCTGGAAGCTAATCCTTATCCTAACTTGGCAGAGGATCCAGGGTGAGCTGGGATTGGAAGCCCCTTTGTTTTTGGTTGATTGAATAAAGGAGATGAGGTAGGCAAAATAGTTAGGTCAACCAGCAATTTATGTGACAATTAAAGCCTTGAAGGGTGGGCGGGGTGCTGAGAGGACTTCCACTACTTTAAGTGCATGAGGGCATGTGCTCAGCAAGAAGCCAGTCCTGAGGAAGTCTGTGGGGTGGGCGCCAGAACAGACCCATTGGCGGATCACGCCGGGTTGGGGAAATTGCTGCTGGGACCACTGCTGAGCACAGTGCTGGCCCTGGCGACATTCTTTGATCATCGCTTTCTCGGTTCATCCAGCCCAAGCGCCTACTCAGTGCTTGGCACATTGTCGGACCTCAATACTTATTTGCTGAATGGAATGGGAGTGGGTTCAGTCCCCTAACCTTTTGCCAGTTAAAGTGTGGTCCAGGGACCAGCCATATTTGCATCACAATGTGAAACTGTTAGAAGTATAGAATCTCTTCTCCCTAGGCACCCCACTCCACGCTCTACTGAATCAGAATCTGCATTTTTAATGCCCTCCGGGTGAGTCCTGTGCACCTTCCCGTCTGAGAAGCACTGCTCTAACCCACCCTCTTCTTGGGCTGCAGCCAGTTATTTCATTGGCTGGATGGCCAAATCGGCCGTGTGTGGGTCAATCAATCCCACAACATTTTGGCAATTATGACACCTGATTCCACTCTAAGAGAGACAAATTGGTCGAGTCATGGAGATGTGACCTCAGCAGCAGCTGCAGAAACTGCCAAGTATAAACTCCAGGCCAAATGACACTGCTTCTTTTCCTTCCTGTGTGACAACTCTGTTAGCATTTTTGATAAATATGTGTTATACATTTCCTTGAAAATATAGAGTCATGGGAAAAATGCTAGAAGAAATACATCAAAATATTACGGTTATCTCTGAATGTCTGAGAGGAAGGATTATGGGCAATAGTTATTTTCTCCCGTGTACTTTTTTTGATTTTCCAAATATTTTACAACCAACATGTTTTATTTTACAATAAAGAAATAAACTTAAAAAAAATGTTTTTGCCTGACAGGGAGAGTATCCCCACCCAATAGACAAGATTTTTGAGTACGTGGAGGGGAAGCGAGCTGCCTGCAGTACCTGGCGAGTCAGTGACCCATCCAAGGGATGAAGTGGGGCCACCTGACCCTTTCCCAGGGCACTGCATGTCATCAAGGCCATTGCTCAGGATACTCAGGGAACCCTGAAGACACCTTTCAATGGGTTTCAGCATCCTGGGATGTAAACGTGGATCGGCACATTTAATTAGAAAGAGGGAAGGTGGGTTGTTGGTGGTGTGCGGGTTTGGAGGACAGGGTGTGAACGGACACATGCATGACTGGATGCAGAGGGACAAGGGCAGCGCCACCTCTGTCCCAAGTTCCCTCCTCATCCAGAAATGCTCCTCAAGATTGAGTGTGATCATCTGAATGAAGCTCTAGTGTGTATATGTGGAATTCCTTCTGGGGAAAGTGTGGAGAGTTGAGCCTGGGAGTTGGCAGGATATAACCTACTTTTCCATCTAAATTTCAACCATCGCAGGACTTGGTTGAATACCCTGGCTCAAGGTTAGTGACCCTCATGGGGATTCCTTGGAAGACCAGGACATCCCCACAGGCTTAAAGTGACCACTGCTCAGAGAAAATGTTCTAAGAGGTTCCAGACCACCTGGGAAGGACCAGATGAGGTCAAGAGCATTGTCCTTAATGCATCACAGACATCAACACAGCAGCAGGCATCACATTCCAACTCATACTACAGGTGAAGAGAGTGAGGCCTAGATGGTGGGCATGAATGATCTGAGTTCCCCTAGAAAGACGGTGGCAGAGCCTTGGACCTTCTCTGCCTTTTCCTGGACCCTTCATCCTGGGGGTGGTACATTAGCTAAGCTGTGCTGGAAACTTCTGGAAACTCATAAAACAAATGAGTTTGGCTTGCAGTGGTTCAGAGTGTGGGCTCTGGAGTCATACTGGGTGTGAATCACTGCTCAGGCCACGGCTCACAGTCTGATCATGGACTCCAGGTTCCTCGTCTGCACGATGGGTAGAAAAGCATCACACAGGATTGCTGTCAGGGTACAACAAGCTAATACATGAAGAGCATTTAGAGCAGCTCCTGGCATCTAGAAAATGCCCAATAAATGTTAGCTGTTACTACTACTACTGCTGTTATCTTCATGGGGATGGTTTCCAAAATCAACAGCAGCCAGTGTGGTAGTGAAAACAGCAAAAATGCCAGAGAGAAAGGGGCACACAAAAAAGGAAAATGATTATTTGCTGAAAGTACTGTCAAGATCAGAGTGGCAAAAAGATCGGAATAACCCTCCTTTTAATTGAATTTCTATCAACTGATTTCTGTAGCAAAGAGTTCAGTGCAGGCGTTCTCCAGGGTGGAGCTGTCATTATGAGAACTGGTCAGATCAGCTTTAAAGAATGGCTGAAAAGGCTTCTGGGCCCCAGGTGCCTGCCCTCCTTATGGGAATCAGGCTGCCTTCAAGCTTGGAGTTGGCCTTGAAAATCCATTAATGACAAGCCCCAAAATGGTGGGAAAGTGCCCTGAGCCCACAGTGATGGGCTGGATCCCACATGGCTCAAAGTCTAATCATGGCTGTCTTCCTGACATGCTGTGTGACCCTGAACAAATCAATTACCTTCTCTGTGCTTTCATTTTCCCAATTGTAAATCAGGGCATAGACTGCCTGACCTGTGTCCCAGCTAGGAAGTGGGTATCAAAATCTTTAAAAAGGCTGAAGCAAAATTACACAGCTCAGAGGCACAGCTGGAAATACTGCAGAGACAAATAACTACAGAGACACACACAGGCTTCTGCCTGGGGCACATGGGCAGGCCTGGCTTCTTCATGGCCCATGTGTACAGTGAGAGCTCCGTGAGAAAGCCAGGAGCATTCAATAAGCAAAGGGCTTACCTGCAAATCTTTACTGAGTTTTATCTAAACCACCACAATTCCATCATTTGGAACACTTCACTGCAAAGTTTTGTACAAAAAGGAAGTTTTTCTAATTGAAAAATGGATTTCTTTATTGCTTCATTTAAAAGGAAATATGTAAAACCTTTCTCCCCTCAAGGGAAAAATCTGTCCTCCAAATGACCTGGAGGACACTGTTAACTTTTTAAAGCAATTTGGCAGGTCACAGCGTCTTGGGGCCAGCGTATGTGAGGGGAGGGGCATTTGCTCCAGTGTCTGGGCCGCACAGCACCCCAGGCTGCTGCATCCTTTCGCAGCTGCGACTGCATTGTTTCCCTCCCACTCCTGTGTTGGATTTTCAGCACTTCGAGGACAGGTGCTGTGTTACTCATCTCTGCTCCAGGATCTAGTGCACTTTCTAGCTCACATGACATGTGTTCTGTAAGTGTTTGGGAAAGATGTAAAAACCTCTGGAGTGTTTACTCCTAGCTAGGCAGTTGCTGAGGACACTGTCTTCAAGTGGTGTGAGCACTGAGCTGGGAGCCTAACTCTGCCCCTAGCTACTAGAGAGACCTCAGCAATGCTTTCCTCTAGGGAGCCCAGGTCTCCCGAATCATTTATCCATATTAATCAACAAAAAGTCGGTGAGCACCTATGCTGCACCAGGAATCATCCGAGATCTTGGTGTGGGGAAGAATACCAGACCCAACCTGCCTGCAGTGAGGGAGAGAGACAGGGAGGCCACCTCCATGAGAGGCAATGGATGCATGCCCACTAGGACTGCTAACATAAAAAGACAGGTAATAGTAAGTGCTGAGGAGGATGTGGAGAACTGGAACCCTTACACATTACTGGTGGGAATAGAAGATGGTGTAGCCATTTTGGAAAACAGATTGAATGTCCCTCACAATGTTAAATATAAAGTTACCATACGAACCAGCAATTCTACTCCTAGGTAGCAAATTTCATTTCCAAGAGAAATGAAAATATCTGTCCACACAAAAACTTGTACATGAATGGCTACAGCAGCATTCTTCATAATAGACAAAAAGTGGAATCAACTCAAATGCCCAGCAATTAATGAATGGATAAGCAAAATGTGGTATCTCCATGCAGTAAAATATTATTTGGCAATAAAAAGGAATGCAGTACTGATATATGCTACAACATGGATGGACCCTGAAAACATTATGCTAAGTGAAAGAAGCTAATCACAAAAGACCACATAGTATATGATTCCATTTATATGAAGTGCCCAGAATAAGCACATCTATAGAAACAGGAAGTAGACTAGTGGTTACTTGGGGCTAGTAGTGGTGAGGGGGAGGTGGAGAGGAGCGGTTGGAGACTGCTAGGTGTTTCTATCTGGAGTGATAAAAATGTTCTAAAATTAGATCATGGTGACAGTTGCACAACTCTGTGACTCTACTAAATACACTAAATCATACACTTTAAATGAGTGAATTGCATGGTGTATACATTATATCTCTAAAAAGCTGTTAAAAATAATGAATGTCATGGCAGATGGATAGATGCACCATTTGAAGGGGTCCAGAGGAAGAAGAACCAAGTGTACTTGTGGGAAATGGTCAGAAGAGGCTTCCCAGAAGAATTGACTCTTGAGCTGAGTTTTAAAGGAGCAGGTATGACTCAAGGAGGAAAAGGGTATTCTGGGCAAAGGATAAGCTGATCAAAGCCAGAGAGGTGGGAGGGAGCTGAGAAGTGGTTTGAGATGGCTGGAGCTAGGGCACATAGAAGGAGGGGCGGATGAAAGAGAAAGAGGCAGGTCGCGGATGAAAGAAAGGCCTAAAAAGTGAGAGTGGTCCGGGCGTAGAGTTGGGGCGTTCTCATGTCATGTGAGAGTTGGGCTTTAGCCTGCATGTTCTCTCTATGCATGAGGACACTGAGAGCATGACTTACATGATCTTGCTTGGTTCTTAATTTATACGTTGTTTCTAGACTGCAGGTCTTAGCTCTGTCTTTTGAAGACTATGTAGCTTTTAAAAGTTGCCACTGAGAGGACGCAAGTGGCACTGGACTTATGGGGGTTATTCAAGCTCATGTGCCTTGGGTGGGCTGTGGGGGACAGGAGGGGCATATGAGCATGCAGGGGCGGGGCAGCCCCATCTACTCACTGCACAGCTGGCCCTCGTCTTCTCCCTGGGCACAGTCCTGGTGGAAGTCACAGGCCTGCCCGAGCTGGAGGACTGTCCCGTTCCAGCATGTGAAGGAGCTCTGCAAGGCCATCTTGGAGCCAGGGGACGTTCCTGGAGAGCACATAGAGACACACACCCCTGGTCAGCTTGGGTGTCCCAGTGGGAAGGCTGCAAGGAAAGGATCTCCCCATCCCCCGCCATTCACATTCCAAGGTTTGAGACATCACCAGTGATTTTAATCTGGCCCCAAACAGGGTCAACACCAGGAGGCTGAGAGGAAGTCAAAGCCCTAACCCTCCAGCCCACTGGCCACGATGGGAGTAGTAGAGTGGTCTGAGGTTTGAGCCACTTTGGGATCCCAACCGTAGCTTTAGCGTGCCAGGTGAGCAGCATACAGGTGGGGTCTCATCTGCACACAGACAGCTCTCCCCTTAATGTCAAATTTGGGGTACCAACAGGCATATCTGGCCCAGCATGTTGTCCCCACGTTCTTGACCCCAGATCTCACCAATGGAGTAACTAAAACACGCAACACTTTCTGTTGTGGGCTGAAAGAACACCATGAGAGCCAGGCCCTGGGCCCTGGACCGGTTCTTCCACGACTGTCTGTGTGACGCTGACCCTGTCCCTTCTCCTTCTGGCTCCTGTCTCCCCATATATAAAAGGAGGGGTTTTGATGGTATTTCCAAGGTCTTGTCCAGTTCTGAAATAATCCAGTGGAGAAAGGGAGAGGTGACAGTTTAAAACAAACATGCTAGCAGATATTTCTTTTCGTATCAAGAGCAATGAGTTATGATAATTAATCAACCTGTGACCTCAGAGAGCCAGGCTTCAGCTGGCCTGGCCTAGCCTGCCAGTGAATGGGTGACTTGCCTGGGGTCTACCTAGCAAGGGCCTGGTTGCTATTTCTGACTGTGCCTGCTGCCACCCAACCTTGGTGTGGGATGGTGGGGGGCCTCTGGTCCCTGTGGAGATGAGCAGGCAGGGCCCACTTGGGTTGACACCCAAGTCTACTTGCCTTGTACTTTGTCCTCTTTCCTAGCTCTGTCCTCATTGTAGCTGGTGCCTCAACAGTCTCTCCACCCCCATCCTACCCACCTCAAAGCTCAGCTGGGTGGTAGAGAGGATTAACCAGGACCCTTACTTGGCCGAGTCCCACAGCTTCTCTGGGCCTCACATAGGGGGTGGGATTCTCCAACTCTGGCTGTAAAATTAGATTCCCCTTTATTAAGTTTTATTTTAATAAAACCTCCCAGCTGATTGTGATGTGAGTCTCTCCAGGTTAGATGATCTTTAACATCTAAAATTTCATTATTTTCTGGTTCCAAACAGCACTGAAACTAACATCAAGTCCAGCCTGTTTACTTCTAGAATCCTTCTGTGCACCTCAGCACATCCGGCTCTGTAAAGAAGCTAGGCAAGTCTTAACGATGCCCATTTCCTAAGTGGGGAAATGGAGTCAGAGAGGCTAAGTGTCTTGCCTAAGGTCACATAGCTGATAAATGGGATTCAGACCAAGACTGTCAGACTGTAAAGCTTCCCTCTCCATCTCATTAAAGGGGAGTGCTAGAGGTGGCCTTGGGCCCTCGTCCCAGGATTGTCCAGACAAGGCTCAACTTGTCAGCTGACGGCAGATGGCCACCCAGCGTTGCAGGATCGGCCTCCCGCCTGGCTGGGCGTTCTCGGTGACTCCTGGGCATGGGAATCACAGGGCCTGCTTCCTTCAGACAATCATGTCGAAACTCTTTCACCTGCTCTGAAAGGTCCTCGTGATCTGGGCCCAAATTTCCTTTCCGGTCTCACCACTCTCTGTTTCTCCCCATGAACTCTGTGCTCCAGACCCATCTGGCATTGGTTCTATGCAACCTGGTGCTAGAACATGTGTGTATGTTCCCATCTTCTTCACCAAGTTGCTTGAGCCTCCTGGTGTTCCCAGCACTACTTAGTACCTGGTCCCCAGGAGGGTTCACGAAAAGCCTGTGCAGTAGGTGACCTGTCTATGGCTGGTTGAATAATGGACCCCTCCAAGACCCATATCCTAATCCCCCAAACCTGTGGTGTAAGAGACTTTGCTGGGGTGATTAAGTTAAGGATCTTTAGATGGGAGGTTATCCTGATTATCTTGGTGGGCCCAATGTAATCAGAAGGGTTCCCCCAAAAGGACAGCAAGAAAGTCAGAGTGAGACGCAGATGTGATGACAGCAGCGAGAGTCATGCTGACTCTGACTTTTAGGGAACTGCCTACTTCCTTTGTAATGTGAGGAAGAGGTTAGAGGTGTTTAGGATAGTAAGAAAAATTCTCTTTCACATTTGCTTGATTTCCGGTTTCCAAAGCATTTTTTCTTCTGCCTTATATATGATCATGAAATACAGTTAGGATCTTATTGCCCTCGTTCCCAGCCCTACTGAAGAAAACACGCACAAAATAAAACACCTGTAAAGTCCGCTCCGCCTATGGAACAAATGCAAGCTGTGTTCTGTTTTACTCACACCTTATGATTTGGCCTTGTTTCTCATCGTGGGTTTTCATGAACACGTGCATGTTTCACACGCCAATTACTTGTCATTCCCCAAACAGCTTTTACTTTCATAGCTTCTTTTACTTTCATTCATTTGAAAAACATATGCCTATTGTCTAGAGTTCAAAACCAGGATAAAAATAAACAAAACAATGCCCAGAATCCTACCACCCAGAGGCCATTGTTTTTAACATCTCAGTAGATTTCTCTTTAGTTATTTTGGTCTATGCTTCAAACGTGTGTATAGTTGTGTTACATGTGTATATTATAGCTTAAATCAATTAAGGTTATATCACAAGCTTTTCCAAGGGTTTAGAAATTCCCCATAAGAATACCTTTCAATGTCTACAACACTGCGTGATAGGTACCATCATTTATTTCAACATCATTCAATGATCGGATTGTTAGACTGTTTATAATAACACTTTGAAGACTATCTTTGAGCATAAACCTTTGCCCGCCTTTCAGACTATTTTCATAGGATCGATTCCCAAAAGTGGGATTACTGAATCAAAGGGCATAAACACTTTGAAGGCCCTCGATACATATTGCCAAATTGCCTTCCAGAAGTTAATCCAATTTACACTCTCACTAGCTGTGGTCATACGTGCACACTCCTCTCACTACGTCCTGGCCAACCCTGAATATTCTCATGATTTTTAACTAGCAGTGTCTCCCTGCTGTTTTATTTGTGTTTCTTTGATAGTTGCAAGGGTGTATATTTTTTCCGTGTGCTTCTAGCTTGATTTCACTCTGACTTTTAGGGAACTGCCTACTTCCTTTTGCCAGTGCGTCCATTAGGTTCTTCATGTCCTCCCACTGAATTGTATGAGGTTACTAATAAGAATGTGAAACTATTTACTACATGCTTGACATTTTCCCCAGTATTTTATGTGTATTTCCATTCTGTTTACAACGCTTCTTGATATCTCGGAGTTTAAAATTTGCACGTAATCCAAACCTATCCATATTTCCCTTGGTGATTTCCTTTTTCTCCTGTGCTTTGGAGAGCCTGTTCCACGTGGGTCGGTAGGTACTGTGTGGGTTGCCCTTCGTAGCCTCCGGGCTGCTATCTCACTGCTGAGGTTGCCGGCTCGTTAGGGAACACCTTCCACCACCAACTCCTTTCAGCATGGGGATGCAGGTCTCACCCCCTCATCTGCGGCGTTTTCATGGATTCTCCCATTCCTTCCCCCTCCACAAACTGTCCTTTCACTTGGGCTTCTACAGCTCATTACTTCTTCCTTTTGCATTTAACATGGTGGGCATTCAGCTGTTACGTTGTAACTAGCTGTTTGTATGCTTGCCTTCCTTCTCAAACCATAAGGGACTTGAAGGGAGGGGTCAAGGCTCCTCATCTTCATGAGTCTACGATGTCCCCCACCTCAGCGTTTGGGACCTGCACTGCACTGAGGGTATCTGTGGAAGCTATCGTTATAGCTGAGAATACAAAGGTTCAGAGTGGTTACCTGGGCTGCTGAGAGACTGGTGGAAATTCCACATGTTCACATCTTGTTCTCTATCCTTTGTACTGTGTCTGTCTGTGGGGTAAACCCCCTCCCCCCTGCCAGTGATGGGTGTCCTCAGGAATAGTGATAAAGGGTACGAAGGGGCAGGGGGTCAGTACCCCTGCTCTTCACTCACAAATCTGGACAAAGGAGGGGTCCAGTCGTGGGAGGGGAGTGCTGCTTTCACCCTCTGGATGCCCCAGCTTGATCCCCAAGACCTCTCTGCTGCACAGCCACAGCCCAGAGAAACCATCTCCTTCTACCAACTCCTCCCGATCTCCTTTCCCCGGCTGGAGACGTCCAGGCTCCTGGCACAGCCTCCTCCACACCACGGGAAACTTTATGCTTGCGAGAGATTCAGCTAGATAGATGCCTGGTACTCTGATCTCTACTGCCAGCCCAAACTCAAAACTAATGAGGCGCAACAAAAAACAACCGCTCTGTCTTCTCAAGTTCTTTTTTTTTTATGGGGCCCATAAATTCCAGGGAGGAAAACACCCTTGGTGCATGGTTTTAATCAAGGGCCTGAGTTTCCTAAAGAGCATCCTTTCTGTGGTTGTGAAATGATTGTTCTGGCTTGTGGAGTAGGGTAGCCTGAGCCCTGGATGGTCATAGCCTGCTCCACTGCAGCGAGGAAGGGGAGGAGCTCGGACATGAAGAGCCACTTCCTGCTGGCACTTCCTGATGTCTTCTGGTCATGAGTGCCCAAGACTCCTGGAAACCGCTGGCACACCAAATGCCCTAACCACAGAAGGATTAGGGAGAGCTAGAATCAAGCCACTCTGGGGAGAGCTGGTGCTTGGGGATCTTTTGTTTTTCAGTGTCTTCTCTATAGAACTTTATTTATTACCTTTGAAAAGGCAGTTCTTCCCAGAGTAATAATGTAAGTCACTGGGGGTAGTAAAGTGTCATCATTCCTCATCTTTGTATAGCATTTTAACAGTTCACAATGTGCTTTCTTAATCCTTCCCTGTTTGAACCTTATAAAAAATTGGCAGAAGTTATTATTATTCTTATTTGATTAATCATTAAGGCTGAGAATTAAAGAGATTAAATAATGTAGAGAGAAATGCTTTCAAAAACAGTAAGGCACTACAAAATGCAACCAGTTACTTGC